ACGTGCTGCCCCTCTCATCCAGACCTCAGCACTCCTGGGAGAGCTCAGCAGAATTACTGGATTCCTCTAGATGTGTGTGAAACAAGAGTGCTCGTTTGGATGACCCCCAGAATTCCTTCCAGCCGGATCATTTTGGAAACCTTTTTCCTGCTCTTTCAAATTCCATCTTTCTGGATCATCATTTCAGAATAATTTATGTGAGCCTCCACATCTTACCTTTAAAAACCCTTGCCTGTGTGGACATTCCTGTGATTCATCATAGTGCATCTACTCGGGATTGTAATTTCCTGTTTATTCCCAAATGAATCCATTTCCTTGGAGAGCCACTCTGTTGTTTAGGTTGATACAATTAAACTGCTATTGTACTTGTAATGGCCACTTCACCCCGGTTTCCATCCTGTCCTGACGCCCATCCCATTTTTCACTTCCTTCAGAATGAGTCTGTTATTTCTCTCTGTGTGTTATGAGCTTTCCCGGCAATTGATAAAGCCTGCGGGCCCTTCTCATGCTATTGTGTGTGTGTGTTTGCTGGTGATTGAATTCGGGACCTTGTGTTTGTGAGGCAGGCGGCAGCACCACTGAGCTAAATCCCCAGCCCCTCATGGTTTTAAATCCAAGAAGTAAACACATGAAATTATAAAAGAAACATACTATACCTTTACATGATATATCTTGGAATTCCCAATGATAAATATGATCAGAATGCATACCTAAAATGTACCAATAAACTTAATGAATAATAAGAAACATACTATATTGTAGCATAGTTGTATTAGTTCCTTACTGTGCTACAAGTTACCTCAAACTTGGTGGCTTAAAATAGCAAAAGTAACTACACTACCAGAGGTCAGAAGTCAAAACGGGTTGGCAGGATTGTGACCCTTCTGGAATTCCCCTGGAGAACCTGTTTCGGGATCTTTTCCAGTCTTGAGATCTACCGTCATTCCTTGGCTCCTGGCTCCCCCTTCTGTCTCAAAGCAAGAAAGCTCATCACTGCTGACGTCGCTGTGATTCTGACTTCCTGCTTTCCTCTTAAAGACCCAGCTGGGAAATCCAGGACACTCTCCCATCTCAAGATCTTAATCTGTACCTTCAAAATTCTGTTTGCCATCTAAAGAAACAAATTGACATTTCTGTGGTTATGATGTGGGCATCTTGGGCAGGGAGTACTCATTACCACACTAGTGTATAGCAGTACATAATTACATTAATATTTTATGTCAATGCACTAAATAATAGAATCTAGTGGCAGATCTTATAAGTCCTGCAGCTTTACAAAGGCAATGATGGTAAACAACGCTCAGCCAACCTGTAACAACTTTACTTTAGCAGGAAAATATCCTCTCACTCTGGGGCTGAGTCATGTGTGCTGTGAAAACCACTGTGGTTTCTTTTCTGTGCCTTTAAAGACCTACCTTGGCTTGTGTGAGTTCAGATGGCTGAGCTATGTCACATTCCTCTCTTCTTTTTTAAATAATTGATTAATAGAAGACAAGTATCAGACTTCACACTTTGTTAAATTTCAAAAATTCAGACAGAGTAAGACTGTGGAGCCCCCTTGTTTACAGGGCGTGCCCTGCTCATCAGGAAGGGTAGAAGCAGCCAAAGGTAGACAGGATCACTGTCTTCTAAGTATCTTCACTCATCACTAGCTCTGTGATCATGAAAAAATGCCCTACTTTTGGGGGTTCAGATTCCTCACCTGTGAAATAAGCTGGTCAAAAAGAATTTGGAAATGGTCTGTAGTGGCTCCTCAAACTGTCAGTCAGTTTAGTGGTCAGAACTGTGCTGATGTAATATCATATTCAGACACTAGAGGGCAGGATTGACTAAAATTTGCTGAGAAGCCCAGGTAAACCAGACCACTTGGAAATTCATTTTATTGTACAAATTGTTAGCAGCACAGGACAGAGAAAGATACATCATTACTGATTACTTTTGTGTCCCCATGATTCAGTCACTTTCCAAATACACAAGACTTTTGGGGAACGTTTTAGATCAAGCTGTAAAATTAGTAAACTATTCTGTTTGCATCTGCTGGGCATTGGATCGATCAAATAACTGAACTGAGATATTTGAGGGGATTTTATTTAAATAATGAAGGGATTAAAGAATGAGAAGTGTAAATGTAAACTGACAACTCTGCTTTCAAAGAAATAAGAAATAGCTTACTCTGAACCAAGTATCAGGACCATGTTCTGGGAACATGGAATCAAGTTACTCTGAAGGACATGTTCCATCATGGAAGAAATTTGTTACGGCCATGTCTAGACGTCCCCGACCTCATGTGGTCACAGATGATGCTTTTCAGAGGTGTGATGCTGGGGGTTAAGGTGTGTGTTTACCAAGTTAGTCCACTGATTGGTGTGGCATCGTTCTGAGAGTGAGCAATGGGCAGGCCCACTTCATTTACCCTACAGTTTGCCAATAGTGAACTGGAAGTCTGTATTTATGCCTTGCTTAAGTGTTTTCTCATTTTCTGTTTTGTTGTTGGGCTGTCCTTGGTTTACTTCCTGGGTTAGTATTTTGATCTTTCTGATATAGCTGCTCTTTTGGTTTTGAGTCTCTAATGACTAAGAGATACTCTCATCTTCTTAATATCAGAAAGGGCAACTCATTAAATCAATCACAACCCTTTAGCCCAACTGATACAATCAGCAACACAAAAGCATGAAGAACAGTTTAGAAATTGACCATTTGTGGTAATTATTAATCTATCACCTTCAACCATTGTGAATTAAACCAAAATCTAAGACCAGCCCAAACTATGTTTGTAATGAATAAACTCTTCAGTACAGCAACTTTACCCTTCAGGATGGGGACTTGAAGGAGTTGGGAGAAGGGGAATAGATAGGTAAAAGAATAGGAGAAGGTTTCAAGTGAAGCCAGAGGACACAGGATGATCACGCAAACTTAGGAAACTGTTGAAGACAAGAGGGAAAGGCAGGGTGCAAGAACAAACACAAGAATACAAAATTTAACAGTAATAGGAAAGCTATAAATGTACTCACTTTCCTTTGAAACTAATGACAATTGAGTGAAAGAAAAAGAGAGAATAAAAAAAAAAGAAGAAATCTGAATTAGGGCAGGAACAAAAAGTGAGAAAAAAGAAAAAGAAAGAAGAAATACAAATAAGCCAGGAACAGGAACAAAAAGGGAGATGAAGAATAATGTGGGGGCGAATGAGACTAAGTGGGAAATAGAAAAAAGCAAACAGGAAAAATTTTCCAATTGGGAAGAAATAAAATTTTAAAAATAGGTAAAGAAAGAAAAACATTGAAGAGCCTCTTTCAAGGTATATCTCTGCTGTTACAATAAACAATGTGGGCAGCAATGTGCAGAAGTACGTCAGCTAGTCTCAGCTAGCCGACGGCTGACCCTGAGATGCAGGCTGAATTCTGGCTGTAAGTCCCAAGTTGAGCTCCTGACATCCTGCAGGGTTGAACTCTGCATGGTTCTTCTGCAGGTTCCCACTGCCCTTCCCCTGAAGATAGTCCAAGTCCTGATGGAAGGTGGTGATCCCTCCAACTTACCACCTACAGGGTCTGATGTGCCTTTATTGCAGTGTTCACTTCCATTGTGTCTTCTGTAGTACAGTAAAATGGCCTTTGTGACCACCTGTGTCTCTGCAGTGTGGATCCAGGTACTGGCACAACCAGGAGGCCCGAGAGCGGGAGGTGGGGCGGTCCTCACTGGCCCTGTTTCTTTGACCTCTTGATTCATCTGGGCCTTGGGATTTTACTTGGCTATCTTTGGTCGTGTAAAGTGACCTTCCTCAGAGGAAAGTCTTTGAAATGGGTTTCAGTTATTGGCTAAGGGGAAAAAACCACAACTGAGATATTATAAGTGGTAAAACAGATAAAACTGCAGCCATCCTAAGGGACTTCCCTACCTAGTAAGGTCACTGCTGTTACTGGACACACCATGAACTGACACATAGCACTTGCTCTTAGATAAAATATGTGCAGTTTTCTCTCATCACCACAGTGTACTTATCAAAAGAGAATTTGCAGTATCTCACAAGCAGAGACGTGCTCTTCCCAGCTTCTTTAACCTCCCTACGTCTGTCTGTCCGCCCGTCGTCCTTGCAGGGGAGTTCTCCACTCACCTGCCGTCCAGCTGTCCCACCAGGAGACCTCACTCTGTTATTCCCTAGTGGGGACTTGTGAATGCCAAAATTGATGAAAGCACACACATGATTTAACTGAGGGAAAACCAAACAGTTTGTGCGAGAATTGAGTGGTTAAACATCCCCAGGTTTTGATGAGTGAAACATGCTGTGTCTGGCCAGTGTTACTCCTTTTCACCGAGAAAGCTGCCTACCCTTGGGGCAGCTTCTGCCCAAACTTCTTTTGTTCTGCTTTTTTCTTCTCTAGTGATGTTTAAATAAAATCCAAAGAGTTGGCTTGGAGCTTTCTCCGGGGGTCTTACAAATGCTGGGCCCACTTGGATGAGAGTAGCCCCTCTGGGTCTCTCAGTGACTGAACCAAGTCTCATCTCTAGATGATCACTTCCTCTTGGCCCACCATGGTCGCATACTGGACATTTCCTGGATCTCTGATCCCTGAACCCTTGTATTGTTGATCACCTCACTGTTAAGTGCCTCACCTTCTAGACTACATGCAGTGGGTTTTCTTTGTCCTTGAAAAGCTAGAAGAACTCTTATCTGATAAATACCTGAAAACCGCTACTCTCCCGGAGGCTGAGAACTCCATGTTACTCCCACTCCACATGTGTCTGTAAAATGACTTTATCACCCTTGTCCCCAGCTCAGCCTCCACACTTATAGAAAAATCAATTTTTAGTTTTATTGAGTCAGAAGCAAACAAACTTTGTAAATAATAAATGCAGTACTAGGTAAGAATTTTTAGGGAAAGCAATTTATATTTTTCAAAATAGGACAAAAATTTAGCGTCCTTCCAGATCTGTGATATAGTCCCACCGTAGAATGAGTTGACAGTAAGCATTAATAGATGAGAAGAAATGAGTCTAAACATCTGTATTTGAGACATCTCTTACATCCATATCGATGCACAGGGACTTCGGGGAGAAGTTAGTATAACGGCTTTCATATTAATATTCATCAGAAAATGGATAATTAGGATGGGTAGTACCTCTAAAACAAGAAAGAAAAATGCATAATATGAGGTCAACAACTGCATTTTTAGAGTGGAAAAGATAAGTGATACCTATTTTATTTATTAATTGGTTATGGAATTTATAATAAGTGGGTTACTAGAAAATATTTTTAAAGTTTTATCTAAATTATTTGTTGTATTCTCTAATAAAGTATTGCCTTATTGTTTCTTATTTCAAATTTACAGTGAGAATGGATTCTGTTTATGCCTTGTATAGGACAAGGACAATTTCAGATATTGCTCACAATAAATGTATTTTATGCTGTACAGTTTCAGGCTAAAAATCTCCATTTCACATTCAGAATTCAGTAATTATTTTACTTGCTATCCCTTACACATAGCATATTGTGTTTGACTTGGAAATAAAATGAATATCATTTATAAGATAGCTTTACATGCCCAAAGACTTTACTGTATTATTTATAAAACTCCATCCTTTAATAATGCAATGTATAAAGTGTTAAAATCAATAATTTTAAGTAATTAATTGCTAGTTAGAATTAATGCTTAGTTGACTTCATGTCTTTTCCATAATGTTACTACATTTTTCTTTATTCTTCTCGTATTATAAAAATATTAGCAATAGTAATGTGTATTTATCTACTTTTGAATACATGCACTTTTACATTGTGTAAATGTCATTTCATACATTATCACATTTATTTCAAAAATGAATTAAAATTTCCACAGATAGGGGCCAGGGATTTAGCTCAGTGGTTCGTTGGCCTGCCTTGCAAGCTCACAGACCCGAGTTGAATCCCCGGTACAAAAAAAAAAAAATTTCCACAGATAGAAGAGGTATATATTTCTTGTTAGGCTCAATTGTAATATCTGTCCTTTCTCATCTTATGTATCCTTAGTGCATGAAAGGAGACTAACTTCTATTGATAGATATAAATTCTCTCCAAGATGAGGCTTCTTTTGGCACAGTCTTCACTTGGATTCCCTCTCTTCTTGATAACTTGGTCAGCCTCTCTGCTAAAATCTATGTACTTCAGAAAATCACAACTAAGTGCTCTGTGAATGGCCTTCATGGTAGCCTTTCTAAGGGCACATGGAGTGTTTGGGTTTATGTATAGTGAAAAGAGAGACATGAAATTATTGAGCACATTAATTTGCCTTATTCAGTGAGGAGTTCCAAACAAAGGAGGCAAGAGCTGTCGGTGTGAAGCACAGAGTAATGAAGACCCTTTTAATCTCACAGAGAATTGAACAGGGTAGGGAAAAGATGATTTAAACTGAATTCTGGAAAGGTCTAGACTGCATTGGTAATATCCACAGTGTGCCTCCATTGGATAGATACAGAATACAAAGGCATACGTGCAGTATGCATGCAGCAGTGCTTTTGACTGATACGGAACATTCCATGGAATAAGACGTGCAGAGGTGCATTGTGGGAGTACAAACTGAACCTGATCTCACTCCTATTGCTGTGTCAGAGAAGGGAATCTGAGGAGAGGTCTGGAAAGCTCCTGTTTCATCCCTAACTCAAACTGGAAAATCGCTTCCTACTCCTGAGGCAACTTTAGCATCCATGCTATATCTTTCCTCAGAAAATAAATGGAAGCAACATATTTACCAAACCTACTTACATATTAAAGGTAATATATCGAACATTTCTGTTCAGGCCATCTAAGACTTTCATGTCCTCTGGAGTCAACTGGAATTCAAAAACCTACCACAGCAGAAAAGGAGTTATATTATATTTACATTGAACGTTTGCCAATTTAATCAGATTAATCAGATTAAATAGTACAGAAACAATACTTAAAATATATTAAGACTTTCCAAAAGTTATTAAAAACAGCAAGAAATGCAAGTGAATAATGAACACAAGGTGAAAAATAAAATAAATCCATTCTTCTACGTATAATATTAAAACTGCTGGACACTTCAAACAAAAAAATATTTCAAATAAAGATGAATAAAATCAAAGCTGCCATGATTCAGAGAGAACAGTGTCTTGTTACTAACTATCCAGAATAATCTACAGTCAAATTTTGAAATAGAAATTCAGTAATTTTCAGGGTACAGTTGAATTTCTATATCCCATCAATGAACAGTTAGAAGGTAAAAGCTCTTGTTTTCAACACAAGCCAGGAACTGTACAAACACCAATGATTTCATGTTTAAAGCACCCAGGGACTGACTCAAAGTATCTTCTTGTCCAGTTTGTGACACTTTAAAAATGAGAATGATTTTTATTAATTGTTAACATATTGAATGGATCATTAAATCTACAGTAATAATTTGTCAGAGAGACAATTTAAAATCTCAACAGTATAACACTGATGAATCTAAGAAAAAAAATTTGTTGAATTTTTCTGTAAACTAAAAAAACTATCAAAATAGAAAGAATATTATCAAATGATGACCAACATCATATATTTCCTTGAATAAATCTAACTTTTCTGTTCCTAGAAATGCTTTTTGTTTGTTTATTTGTTTTTGTTTTGTTTTTTGAGACAGGGTCTCACTATGTAGTTGAGACTGACCTGGAACTCACTATGTAGCCCAGGGTGGTCTTCGAATTCACAACAGTCCTCCTACCTTAGCCTCTCAAGTGCTGGGATTACAGGCATGCGCCACCACGCCCGGCTCCTAGAAATGTTTTAATGGAAAAACTTGTCAAACTTATCTTTGAATAAAAACGAGCACCTAAAAAATTGGAAATTTGTATCACAATCATGGATCATAAACCTCAATACTGTCAAAAATTCTCTCCAAATACATCAGCGGCTTTAATGGGATATAAAATAAACACTTAAAGAAAATTTGGTGGGTTCATAAAGTGCTGCTCCATTTTGTTTAACACAAGAATCACAAAGAAATTGCCAAAATATTTCTAAATCAAGGAGTAATAAAAGGTTTTGTTACTTTGGGTAACAAGACTGATTTTTTAAGAACATAATTAAGACTAGAGAAAAGGAAGCATATCAGTTGATGAGAGACGAGAGCTCCGAAATGTACTCATTGCTGCTGGTAACTGTTGATAACCATTTAACTCACATGTGTATATTTTATCCTTATTTTACATAGCACTCACACACCAGAGTTGAAATAAAGTCCAGTGTGAAAGGAAAGACAGTAAGACTTGTAAGGTACTGTAGTAAAATACTGTTGCTTTCCTCCATGTAGGAAAAGACATGATGATTACTGACCACATTTAAAGGCATAGTGAGTTTGATTATAGTATGAGAAGGAACTTTAATTATGAAAACATAGTCTAGATAGGGGAAAATACTTTAATAAGCAGTTTGAATCTGGACATCAATTAATATCTAGAATACATAAATGTGGTTGATTGATTACAAACAAGGTCCCCTATCCTACTTCTCATTTCCTAATCTGCACACATTTACACTTTGTCCATTAAAAGGTGGCATTGCTGGGCATGGTGATGCACGCCTATCATCCCAGCACTCAGGAGGCAGGGTTACTTGGAGTTTGAGGCCAGCCTGGGCTACATAGTGAGTTCAAGGCCTACCTGAGCTACATAGCAAGACCCTGTCTCAAAAAACAAAAAATGAAAAACAAACAAAAAGTGATGTCTCTTTCTCTGCTCCTTCAATCTTGACAAACCTGAAACTTCCACTGGCTACTAGAACTTGACAGAATCAGTGACTTACAATTTCTGGCCCTAGACATGAACCTTCCAAACATCCGCTCTCCCTCAAGAAGATATTATTTGAGTAGGTGAAGCCTGAGTAGTTCATCCATGGATGAAGCACATGTAGAGAACATCTGCTTCTCCTCAGACCACAGCCCAGCCAGTCTGGAGTAGAAGAGCCTCAGTGTCATGCAAATGCATGAGAGAGGCACTGGAGACAAAGGAGCGGAGAGAGAGCTGGCACTACCAAAGTAGGCTTTGAAACCATAGGACATGAATCGAGCTAAAAAGTATTTCTGGTTTGAAATCACCTTATTAAAAGTTGTTTGAATATACGTATATGTTATGTTAAAGTACAAGTATAATAGGGAGTGGTCTAATAAACTCCAATTATTTGAACATAATCAGCTTAGAAAGTGAATATCTACGTGAATATTAAACTATATCAGTATTCAAGTATACCAAAACAAGACCATTATCCTTTGTAGGCTGAAAGTCTTCAGAAATAGGGAATCCAAGACCTGTTTCATAAAAACAAGAAAAGGATATGTAACCTTCTCAGGCCTATGGAGTGTATTACCAAGGTAACGCTGAAGCTCAGATTTCCCAAATCTGCCCGATCTTAATTCTATCCAGACCTGCAAGCATCGGTGGAAGAAAACATCTATGAATGTACACGAAACACCGCATATACTAAATAGCAGGAAAATGATGTGACACAAAGATATTTTAGGAGCCTGCAAAAAAAGCAAACATGAGGGTCAGGGGATTTATCTCAGTGATTGCGGCTCCTGCCTCGCAAGTGCAAAGACCGAAAAAGAAAGAAACGCAAACATGAAAGATGCCTAGGGCTCTCATCACCTGCATGTTCTCTTGGATCCGCTTCTCACTGAAACTCTTGGCCAGGACCACAACCCCACGCTGCAGCTGGTAGCGAAGGGCAATCAGGGCTGGAGATCGCTGGTGCTTTTTTGCCAGGGCACAAAGAACTGGATCTTCCAAGAGAACCGGGGAGCTCTGGTCCACCCTGGAAGGAAAGGTAGAAATGCTTAAATCTTGACCCCATGTATTTGGGTCAGGCTTCCAAGGCAGATGGAATTTAGGCCAGGGTTTTTCAAAGGAACCGGGAACACATACAACTCTAGGATTTCCTCGGAAAAGCAAATTTTATCCTTTCCCTGAGCCAGTAGAGAGAGAACTCCGGGAAACTCAGTACTGTAATATTGACCGCAATTCATCAGCAATTGTTTAGATGTAATGCTTACTGCTTAATTACCATTTTTTCTCTCTTTGGGATCCCAGAGCGCTATAGGCAACCAAAACAATCTCTTTTGACTTGCAGAAATTTAGCAGCTTGGTCTGATTGAGATAGAGATGACATTCCACCTGCAGATGGGCAGAGAGAATGTATCAAATCATATTCAATGACTATCTTAATATGGAAAAGACATGATAAAATATAAAGCCGAATAAAAGAAAAACCTGTGCAACATGAAATGTGAATGGAAAATATCAATCTGAAGTAAGATCCTTTTAAAAAATAAATTTAATTCTTCTGGTTCTCTTTGGACAGAATTCTCTCATATCATTGATAATTAAAGTATATTTTACCTCATCTTATAGGAATAATTATAATTTATCTTTACTTTTTAGTGAAATTTTGTTTCATAGCAAAATATGTAGGAAAATAAAGAGTCGTTTAAAATGAACACATTTATAATTCCCAATGAAATAACTTAGGAAAACAGAACTGAAAGATACTAAAATGTTATGCAAATAATGGTCTTGAAACATACCTTACCCTATAGACAATTGCTATCCAGCAAGTTAGTTAATAATTGCAATGCAGGGAAATATATGTTGAAAAAGAAGAGCTCTGGCTTTAGGATATCCATGTGTTTCAAACTATGATTAGTAATTGTGGAACAATCTATCATTAAATGAATAATTTGTAGAAGATGCAATTTTAGTGTCAAAGCATGTGAAAGAAAAATCAGATTTAAACTTGTAATAGAGGAATAAGTACTAAACATTGCAAGACAACGATCTGATAATACTACTGACCAAAATTGCCTGGGTAACATGGGGAAACACTGATGACTAGTGTAGCTTGAAAGAGCTTGAAAATGTTACCAAATGTTGGGGGCTGCAGTACTAATTATCCCAGTTAAAAATGAGCTACACAAGACGTTTTGGAAAAAGAGTAGGGAATTTGAATACGGAAATTGAATGATAGAAGAGAAAAATTATGAACTTCCTTAGATCTAGTAATGGATCTGAAACTATTTGGGAGGATATGCAGTAATACCTTGGTTCACAAATGCTTCTGTTTGTAAACAATTCAGTTTGCAAAACTTCCTTCGGCAAAAATTTGCTTTTATTTGTAAACTCACATCGGTTGACAAACAGGACAACAATCCTTTCCCCCCACATTGTAAAACAAATGAAATTTGTACATTGAGGTACCACTGTAATTATTTTTGGAAGGTTTTTCTTATTCATTTCTCTAAGAGTGGGAAATTATATGTACAATTTACTTTGAATGAGTTTGGCCAAATATTAAACATATATTTGCAGGTATACCAACATTATTGGCAACATGACAAAATGTCAACCCTTTCAGGTATAGGTGGGAAAATAAGGATGTTGTATGTAATTCTTCAAATCAATCTAAAGATTTAAACATAAGCATCATAAGAAAGGAGAGACAAACAACTAGCACATTAAGTTTTTAAAACTTATATTTGAAAGTAAGGCACTGTGTCATTATGTACAAAATGCAAAGTGTATTTTGCTATCCTCATCCTTTACTCCACGAGTAAGAGTTGGTTTAAAAAAAAACAAAAGAGCTGATGCAGGCACAGAGCTGATGTGATGAAACAGCAGATTTGATGATAGAAAGCGAGCGGGGAGGGAAGTGGTGGGGCGGGGGAGAGGAAAGAAGGGAAAGAAAGAATATGAGAAAAGAAGGAAAAACGAGTGAAGCTTTTGTAAATAGGGGTGAAAGGGAGGGAAGGGGAAGGGGAAAGACAGGAGCTAAGATCTAAGACACATCATGTACAGGTACGAATGCACGCTGAGGAATGTGATCATAATGTGGACCTAACATGTACCGATGAAGTTAATAAGAAAAGAAAGAGAAAGCAGGAGCGGGGCACACTGACTAAGATGAAATCAGGCAAAAGACAGGTCTGCTAGGAGTTCCACAATTTCATCCACACTTAGCATGCACATGACTTCTTTCCTCCAATCCGAAGTCTTTCACATTTTCCAGTTCATTTTCCCTGTAGCTGTGCCTCACATCAGCACCTCTGACGGTAGAGATGCCAGGATGCAGGAATTAAGCATCAGAAGCCCACACAAATCTCCACCGTGCGTCTTATCTTCACTTCAGCCTTACTCTGCTTGCCGTGTTTTCTCGCCCATTTCCTGACACGTACTTCTCCTAATGGCGCTTTCAGCCAGTCAGTCTGCAGTTGTCCCTCATAGCTCACAACGATGTGCATCTTCCTGAGATCTGCATATTATTCCAGCTCACAGAAATAATGTTTGCCTGGCTAGGTTCTTACACAGAGCTTAGCCCTATAGCCTCCAATCCTGTTCATTAAGACTTTACAAATCAGAGATACAGTTAAAAGTTCTTCATATCTTCTGCTGTATAAAATTAAGATGAATAGGTGAAGAAGACCAATGGACCCCCAGTAATAACAGGAAAACGGAAAGAGCACAAAAGAACAGGAAGCTAAGAGTGCTCACCTGGTTACAGACAGGCTTATATTTGAGCCCTGGCTTATTCAGGATCATCTCCAGCTGCCTGCGGTTAAAGTTGGACACCCCGATGGACTTGGCCAATCCTGCATCCTTACACTTCTCCATGGCCTTGGGAGGAAAAGATTATGAGGGATAATATATGCAATTAGTTACATATTAATGTATATGCAATAGTACTGTTAGAAGTCAAAGGTGATTGGAATTGATGCTAAGAAAATAATGAAGATAGTAACAACAAGAAAAAACTCTGTATTCTGCTTACAGAAATCAGAAATACTATTTTTACATGGAGGAAAAGAGGTGACTGTCTTAGCCTTTCCCAAATCACTCTGGCTCTCTTATATCGCAGTAATGCATTTCTGCCCACCATGTCAGCAGAATACCCCTTGTAAAGGTCAAGAATTTCTTGAGCCAGTAGTGCACAGCACGTGTAGGTAGAGTTGTGACCTATTACTTTCCGTCTGTCCTTGGTCTCTCCCTTTTTTCCTCTTTCTCTCCCTCCCTCTCCCTCTCCCTCTCACTCTTTGCCTCCTCCCTCTCCCCTCTCTCCCTGCCTCTCCCCCATCCCCTTTGTACTCTGTTCCAAGTACTCACCTCCCAAGTGGCACACAGATCCACTGTATCACATATTAGTTTCCCGTGCTCATCTGTTGGAATAGACACATCCCCTGGCTGGAACAGAAGCAGTCATTAAATCCATTCCATGAAATTCTTATCTCCATCCATATCTATACTCCTTAGTAAATCTAGAGTTGGAACACTAATCTTCCAAAAAATAGGTGGAGCAACATTTCAGAATTATTTTTTCAAAATACTTTGGTTGTGGTGTTTTTAGGTGAAAGGTTTCATCTATTCCTTGATGGCTTTTAAATATGTTAATTTATAATATGCACCTAGGTCTTTATGTGATGTCCTCATTTATTTATTGTTGCTTTTCATATTCCTGTACTTTCCTCTGGAAAAATGATTCTTTCAAATGGGAAAGTCTTAACTCAGACTACAGAATCAATGTTAATCTCCATCCCTGAGTATGTGAATGGCCAAAAGTTAGGCACATGAGTCAAAGATGACCCATGAAGGTCTTCTCTTTTCTCTTCCCTTCCCTTCCCTTCCCTTCTGATTTTATTTTCATTTATGTTTTCAGTTATAAGAGAATATGAGAGACCATAAAAGGAAACATGGAGATAGAAAGTAGTAGGACATTAGAATGTAAATAACTCCTGAAAATAAACTTGAACCATTTGTAGGAGAACGGATTTACTTTGAGATCATAATGTTAAAGGAAGTCAGACAGACACACAAGTTCAAATATCATAGTTTCCCTTATATGAGAGACCCAAAATATACATAAAGTGCAAGAATAAAGATAGAGAATAAGGGAGCCAGGGATTTAGCTCAGCGTTTCAGTGGCCTGCCTTGCAAGTGCAAGGACCCGAGTTCAATCCCCGGTACAAAAAAAAAAAAAAAAAAAAAAAAAGATAGAGAATAAGAAATAGTGAGATGAATCTTCAGCATATGGGAAGGGAACCAAGAGACGGAGGGGTCGGGGTGCGGAGATTTTTTTTAAAAAGGAGGAATTGTGAAGTGTTCTGTACATACACTAAGTCCTTAGCAGGAATGTGATCATCATGTACTACAAGCGTGTACAAGAATATATATGTATGAAGGGGCCTGAGAGAGGTGCGGAGGGAGGGGAAGCCAAGGGAAAGAGTTAAAAAAGAATTAAGAAATGTCATGTATGTGTACCAACAACTCATGATGAATGTAATCATTATGTACTATAAACATGTACCTATATAACATAAAAAATAATTTTCTCCAAAGTCAAAGGTAATTTCTGTTAGAAAACCAACTAACCAAACCAAAACTGCCACCAGTCATGGATTTTGGAATTGCATAGAACCCTCAAGTGTTACAGTAATCCACTTGAGTCCCTCCCAGCAAAGGAAGTTGAGATCAGCACAAATCCTGAAACCCAACCAGGAAGAATGACCCATTAAGTTTTTTTTAAGGATAGGTTCTTTTCAGTATGATGTATGTGGACTTTTTCAGCAGTTTAATATAGACTTTATTTTTTGGTAAGGCATAGGATTAAGCATCCTGATGAAAAAATATGATTCTAATTATAGAAAATACTTCAAATTAAACACTTGTTTAAAGTTCTTGTGTCCAGTGGTTCACTATGTTTTTAAAATTTCATACACTCGCATGCCAAGGGCTATGCAAAGAGTAAACATGGAAGAAAATTTAATAATTTTCATTTCTTCTATAGGTCAAAAAACTGAGATTGGTATAAATCCTATTACTGATCAATGAAAAGCAGGATTTAGCATTTGTTTTATTAGCCATTATTATTTTAAAATACTAAAACACATAGATTTACTAAGCACAGTCCATATGCTGGGTACTAGGATAAGATCTTTAAGCAAATTAACTAATTTAATTATTTTCTACTATATAAGGTATGTGATATGATTTTATATATAAAAAATGAAGTCACAGAATATAAAAAAACCTACACAATATAATGCAGCCAACAACTGACAGAAGAGTTTAAAACCCTGCTAGGGCAGGGCTCTTAGCTGCTCTGCCACTCCTCGTTCATTGAGTTATAGTTCTGTACGCTGTTCCTTGTCTAAGTTTGTCCAGTGATGAGAAGGTGAACAGGAGGAGGAGGAAGGGAGGTAGGGACAAGAAAGAACTGAGAACAGAGGAGAAGATGGAAACAAAGCTTTTGTACATAGGGAGGGGTGGGGGTTGAGGGAGGAAATAGGATAAAATAAAACAAAACAAAGTGAAAAAATGAAAAAAAGAAGATAAACAATGAAAAAATGAGGAGAGTCCACAGATTGAATGGAGGATGAAGGTCAATCCAGGCTCTTTTCAAGAATAATTTTGATGCTGAAACGTACTGAGAGGCTCTCAAGTATTAATGATCATGAGCCTTTCTAAAGCAAAGGTCTTATTTGTCTCTAGTGCAGAAAAGAACTTGGCAAAAACCAAGGAAACCTACAGAAGTATATTAGTGGGGCTCATAAAAAGATATTTCTGAAGATTATTTCACATTTATCAAGGTAGCTATGGCTTAGGCCCCCATTTACTCTACCCAATTAATTTTTTGTATAAACTGGCTTGAAAAGTTTCCATAATATATAAATGTTTCCATAAGTTTATAAAAGCCTAATTCAGTCAGCCATGAAACTGCCAGCCATGCTGAATAGTTAAATAGATCTAACGATGCAAATTCCCTACCTTCATGGATAAAGGTACATGAATGAGATAGAGGTCCACATAGTCCAACTGAAGTTTTTTCAGCGAGCTTTCCAAGCCAGATTGGACTAGCTGTGGTTGATGGAATGTGCACCAAAGCTAGAAGTTTAAAGAATGAAAGTTGTTTTAGATTACAAATTAAAAGTATTTATTTTCTTTTTCCTAACATTGAAACATTTTTCTACTGGTCAGAAACTGATGAACATAAGGAAAATACTAACCTCTGAATTTCTCTACATCTCATGTATTCTTATAAGCTTTCTTGCATGTTCATTATTTTTGCTTTGTTTTGGTACTCGGGTCTTTGCACTTGTGAGGCAGGCGCTAGAGCCACTGAGCTAAGGCCCCGGCCCTGCATGTTCATTATTATTAGCAAATTAATGAATAATGGAAGGAAATTACTCAAGAGATGACTTTTTATCAAGTAATAATAATGATCATTTCTGAGTTTGTGTTCCAGAGATGACAAAACAGTTTAATAGTCTAATTCTCCCATCCATTCAAATAAATTGGAATGAATTAATACATTATATTTTGAACTTTTAATGTGTGACAGATCCAATAAAAGACAATTTAGCAATATCTTATTTAATACCAAAGGAGTAATCTGATACTGTTCTCACTGATATTCACTGTTAAATGATAAAGGTAAAAGTTGATATTCAGACTGTTAAGCAAATGTGGGACTTCCCCAATATAATGAAAGAAGCTATAATCTAGTCAAGGCCTGTCTGAATACACAGTCCATGCTAAATCATACTGCTTGAGTTGAAGCTCAGAAACTAAAGGAACTTTACATTACAGTTAGAAATGTGAAGATAGCAATAATATGGAAGCCATCATCTTTCTCTGTTTTTAGCACTGGATGTTATAAATAAATATATGCGAGTAAAAAATGGACCAATATATATTATTCATCAACCATTACTAATTAAATCATACAAATATTACTTCAACACATCACATGTCATTAAGTCGAGCCCCTGCACACAGCGTGCACAATACCTTTGAAGTGTAGAAGATGTCTTCTCTCTTTACTGTACCATCGGCAATCTTGCTCCGAATGGCCAGTCCAACCTCCTCTTCATTTTGGTACAAGTAAGCAGAATCAATATGGCGAAACCCAGCATCTATAGCTAATTTGGTGGCCTCTGTAGTCTTACTCTTGGGAATCTAGAAAGGTATTCAGAGGTAGTGTTGAGATCCACAAGATAGAGTGTTCTAGAACAAGCAGAGACTTCACAAAAACAACTTTTCCTCATGTTTTCAGTTAGTTGTGCATTTGTGATGAACATGTTAGACTGACTTGGTCTTTCCTTCTTCATAACAAGAATAGGGCATTCCTAGGATCCCTTGGTCCCAGAAAATTATTGGTTGATCACTTGTATAGGTCTCCAGAAATATCCTCACATTTAATGATTTTTCTGGAAGGACTCACAGGACAGAGCACATATTTATAACAATGGTTAATATTCATGTGGTGAGGTAATACAATTAATACAGGAAAAGAGCAAGAATGAAGTATAGAAAAAATAGTCTCCTTCAAGTAAATTAAAAAAGCAACATACTAAATTCCTCTAACTGACCATAGAGGTAATTATATGGTCATTTATATGGTAAATATATGGTAATTTTGTTCACAAAATGTGTCTTTGGGGACACATTTTCTAATCCTTTCACTGAGGTGTTGGTTACATGGACTCCTCTGCTAGCACACTCCAGTCTCCTAAGTGATAGAAGGGATGCACATGTGCTACCATTTGTACAAACAGTTCAGGGATGGACATCATCCTTATCTGATAGAAAATAGTGAGATATCAAAGTTCCCATAGGTCAACCAGAAGCCATTTTGAAAGTGAACACTTTAATGGATAGCACAGTGCTATGTTAACTTTTCTAAGCAGACATTCTTTATGTACAACATAAGTAAATACTAAGCAGTAAAGATCTGTATTCAAAATATATAGATTCATACACAAGAAATTACCCACATTATATAATTGAGTCATATACGTCTCAGCCCTTAAAATTAAGGCCATCATTGTTTTAGGAAAGACATAATTTCCTAAATTTTAGGAAAGTAAAATTTAAAATGATTGGCTTCTCTAAGATGTTCCTGGAGACCTCTTATGCCACTGTTACAAATTAGTACAGTGATTTGGAGGCAATTATTTTTCTTAATGAAATTAAAATAAATAAGATATTGAGCTTCTGGCCCTCTTTTGACATCCCTTTTCACCTAACTTTCTTAGGCATAAGAGCAATCACAGTTTTACCGTGGCCAACTATGAGAAAGTGCTGAAAATCTTTAGCCATCAGGCAGTGATCATGACTGGCAAGTTTTATGTTTATTACTTAGCTGAGAAACAAACTGAAGTATAAGGAAAATCCAGTGGCTGGTATAATTAGTAGGCCAATGCGTTATCCTTTAGGCACCCAGGGCCAGTATAATTGGTAGGTGACAACATAATCAGACCTTGATGTAAAGCAATATCTAGTCACTTTTCTGCTCCATGTATGAAACAGCTCTAGCCTGCAGAATCTGTGAACCACTGAGCCCCTCGTAGTCTTGTAAGAATGGGGGATTTAATAATCCAGGTCAGTCCCCACTCATCCCAGGTCCAGTTTAATTTGAGTCCCCATTGTCAACCCCACTGTTGTTACCTCTTCAGGTGCATAGGTGCCAAATCCCAGTACAGGCATAAAGTGGCCATCATTTAGTTCCACATGCTGATGTTTGGAATTCATTGTTATTTCACCTCTGACTAAGCAGATTCTGCCTCTTCTACCTGCACAGGGCACTAAGTGGACAAAGGTTATAGTCCCACTTGTGACTAATCAGTAACCAATGGTATGTGGGAGAGACCTGGGACTGTTTCATATACTTTATGTAAGAGAATTGTTAGCTTACTACATGGTGACAGAGAAATTATTTGTTTAATAAATTTTCTCTTTAGAAATTTTCATGTATTATTTTAAATTGTTACCATCAATTGAAAAAGCATTGACCATTTTGGCTAAAATATTACAGATTTTCTTATTGTTTTCAATTTTTTATCACAGTGAAATTTCTTCTTGAGCAAATATTTTTTGAAACTGAACTCTCTTAATCTACACACTCAAGAATGCTCACAGAATTTTAAAATTACTGTAGAGCATTTTTCAAATTTTAACCATAATTAATGAATCAAAAATTAAAATTGAAAGAAGGTTCAAAATGAATTTTAGGGTGGTTTTATCTAATTCTCTGAGATGTATTACTGGTATTTTTATTGGGATTGCATTAAATCTGTATAACAATTTAGGGAGTATGTTCATTTTCACTATATTGGTTCTTCCTACTTAAGAACAAGGGATATCTTTTTATTTTCTGATATTTTCTTCTGTCTCCTTTTTCGGTACTATAGTTGTCAATGTAAAGTTCTACTTCCTTCATTAGATCGATTACTAGGTATTTCATTTATTTGGATGCTATTGTGAAGGATGTGGCTTCCCTAATTTCTCTCAGTGAGTTTGTCATGTACAGAAATGCTCTTGATTTTTGAGTGCTGACTTTGTATCCCACTATGCTACTGAAACGTATTAATGAAGTTTTTTGGTAGAGTGTTTGGAGCCTTCTATGTAGAGTATCATCTCATCAGCAAATAATGATAGTTCTTCTATTCATATCCTTATTCTTTTTATTTCTTTCTCTTGTCTAATTGCTCTAGCTAATGTTTCCAAACCTATAGTGAATAAGAGCGATGATAATAGACATCCTTGTGTTGTTCCTTACTTTAATGTGAAAACTTTCAGTTTTTGACCATTTAATGTGACGTTGGCTTTTGGTTTGTCATAGATGGCTTTTATCAGTTTGAGATAAAGACCATCTATTGAAATTTTCTGTAGGATTTTTATCATGAGTGGGCGTTGGACTTTCTCAAATACTTTTTCTGCATCTATTGAGATGATCATGTGTTTTTTTCCTCCCTAGGCTTTGTTGATATGGTATATTACATTTATTGATTTGTGTATATTGAACCATCCCTGTATCCCTGGGATGACTTCTACTTGGACATGGTGTATAACCTTCTTGCGTTTCCATCTAGAATAAATTGTCCTTGTACAAATGTTTTGCTCCTTAAAGGAACAACTACTCACGTCCATACACATCACAGCTCACAAGGGAAAAAAGATCTTACATTTTCTGTCTTGAGAGTTCAAGTCTAAATTTGGTTATAGAAGAGAAACAGATTAAAAGGGGTTCACATCATTGCTTATAAGAGTGAGAATGAATGGATGTGAGGTCTAAGTGATAGGAGGAAAGTGTAAAATCTGAGGACTCATTTCTCATTATCTAGCATAGGGGGGAATTTCCACAGAGACTGGACAGGATTTTCAGTATCAGTAATTGCTGGAAGATTTCATATCATGATTCAAAATATTTTGTTCAGAAACAAATCAACAACTGTTACTCAAGAGTATCAAAAGAGTCCAATGTGTCTTATTTCCTCATACGTTGGAAGATGCAGCATAGGAAAGCTGTGCTTGTTATCTCTCAAATATCATCGTGTTCTCCCAGCCAATAACAAACCTTGACCTCAAAGAGCTGGAAAATGTGCCAAAAAACCTTGATGGATCCAAATGACACAGTGATTGCAATACAGAAAATTCCATATATCCTGTCAAGTGTACTCAAAAATAGTGCTGTTTAATGTAGTTCAAAATTCACTTACTATTAAAATTTTATATATAAAAGAAAAAATAAGAATAAAATAAATTAATCTTGGTTGTGTACAGTGAATAGTTAAAATAACAACCACCATCCCATGGAAAAAATGTGAAAAAATAACATGGTTGAAGTCTGTGAAGGAGCAAAGAAAAATAGAAATAAATTTAACAAAATAAGCTTTGGTGGTGTTCTTAGTGATGGTAGATAACATTTGAGTAATTATGATATATTATGCAGGACTCTCAATGACTCTTCACAGTCAATGTATGAAGTAGGTTCAATTATAAATTCTTTTTTTTTAAATTAAAGGATTTAAGAGAGGTTACTCGCTTTTTCAAGATCACTTGAAACAAATACTTATTTTTAATTTTCCGTTTTGACTGTTTTAACAGCCATTGTTTTGGATGAGAGAACTTTATATACCTTCCACCTCCACCTTACTCCTTCTTTTTATAGTCTGGCAATAGGATATGACAAATTAAAGGATGTTTTGGTAGATATGTGGGAAATTTCTTCTTATCCTACAATTGTTCTAGATAGAAATTCCAATTTTCCAAAAGGCATCTCATGGGTAATGTTATCCAGCACTTCAGGGAACACACTGATTTCCATAGTCATGCTATATGAGAGGTAAACTATGTTTGGTATTTCATATAATTCTTGATGTAACAATTGTCTTCTCTCACAATTTGTTGTCTGCACAAACTCTGAAATATATTTGCAGAGAGTACCAGTTTATAGACTCAGAGAAGTGTTCCACAGTCAATGGGAACTGCCAAAAATTTGGTCACCTCTGGGAATATCTGGAATTGGGGATGTGCAGGACTTCCTTATGGTCTGAATTATAGAGATCACGATTTGATGACAATGGAATTCACATATATTGTTTGGCATCCCAAGGCTGATCTTCCTTCTGTTTGTGCACATATTGGCATTTTACTTTCTGACCTTTGTTCCCTGGTCAACCCTCTGATTATTCAAAACTCCACACACTTTTTCTTACTGACCTAAAAGGCAGATGTCCTGTCATAATGTTTATTTTTTCCTCATTGAGTTTATTGGTACTTTTTAGGTATACAATACAGTTATATTCATCATTGAGATCTTGTACCTTTATATGACAGGTCTTGGTTCTCATTTTTCCCCATACCCCTGCCCTCCCTTCACCCCCTCCTCCCTTCCCTATTTGCAAAAACTTTACTTCCATTTTTTCATTTTCTCATATTTTTTCTTTTCCCTTATTTCCTTTCCCCTACCCTTCCTGCTTCTCCTACACCTTTAGCCCTTTTCTTCTGATTTCAAGTAGTCAATTACACTATTTGGATCTTATTACACCTTTAGTTTTTCACACCAGAAAAACTATTCATTATTTCCACATGTGTGACTTATTGATTTCACTTGAGAGTATATCCTCAATATGCATCCATTTTCCCATGAATGACTCTAATTTCTCATTCTTTATGGCTGAGTAGTATTACATTTTATAGAAAAACAGCATCTTCTTTATCCAGTCTCCAACTGATGGGCAATTGGGCTGTTTCCAAGTTTTAGCTATTGCAAACTGAGCCACTATGAACATGGGTGTTCATATATCAGTGTGGTATGATTCTTTGAATTCTTTTGGAAAGATACATAGCAGAGGGATGTCTGGGTCAAATGGAACCTCTAGTCTCAGCTCTTTGAAGTATCTCCATACTGATTTCCATAGTGGTTGCACCAGTCTGCACTCCCACCAACAATGGAGATGGGTTCCTTTCTCCCCACAACCCCACCAACATTTGTTATTGTGTGATTTCTTGATAGCAGCCATTCTTTGTGGGGTGAGGTGGAATCTCAGTGTTGTTTTCATCTGCATCTCTCGAATGACCAGGGATGTGGAGCAGTTTTTCATATATTTACTTGACACTTTTACTTCTTTGTCTGAGAAATTTCTTTTCATTTCAGATGCCCATTTTTGAATTGGGTCTTTATATTTGGGGGGGGGCTGGTTTGTTTGAGTTCTTTATATATTCTAGATAATAGTCCTTTGTCTGGGAGCAGCTGGTAAAATTTTTTTCCCACATTGTGGGTTGTCTCTTAGCTCTGTTGGTGGTTTCTTTTGCAGTGCAGAAGCTTCTTAATAAGATGAGATCGCAGTTGTTGATTTTTGCGCTAGCTCCTGTGCTACTGAGGATTTGTTCATAAAATCTTTTCCTATGCCAATGTCTTCAAGAGTTCTGCCTAACTTATGTTCTAGCAAATTTAGTGTCTCTTTTTTAATATTTAGATCTTTAATCCACTTGGATTTTAGTTTAGTGCATGGTGAAAGGTAAGGGTCTAGTTTTAATCTTTTGCAGGTTGAAATCCAGTTTTTCCAACACCATTTATTAAAAAGGCTATCTTGCCTCCAGTGAGGATGGTTGGCTCCTTTGTCAAAGATGAGGTAGCTAAGTATATCTGGAGTTGTTTCTTTATCTTCCAATCTATTCCACTGATCCTAAGGTCTGCTTCTTTGCCAGTACCATGTGTTTTTATCATAGTGGCTTTGTAGTATAGTTTCAAACTGGGAATTGTTATACCCTCTGCCATGTCTCTGTTGCCTAGGATGGCTTTTGCTATTCTAGGTCCCTTCTGGTTCCAAATGAATTTTTGGATTATTTTTTTCTATTTCTGTAAAATACCTGTTGGAATTTCAGTCAGCATTGCAATGAATCTGTATAGCAGTTTTGGTAGTATGGCCATTTTCACTATGTTGATTCTTCCTACCCAGGAGCAGGGGATATCTGTTTGTTTTTTTTAGTCAACTGATTGAACAACAGAAGGAAATTACTCAACATAAAATTTTATCAAATAATATTACTGTCCATTCTCTAAATTTTGTTTCATAGAGATTCCAGAGATATTTTTATTTTAATTATCTTATGGATTCTATTTACTGGAAAAGTATTGCCGTCCTATCATTTGCATAACTGAAGGGAAACATATCTTAAACATATTATATGTGCTGGGCTCAAATCAAGGTACTTTAGGTGTATTTTGTTTAATATCCAAACAAATCTTTTCTACTATTTTGTAATATTGATAAAAGAAAACAATAATATCAGAATAATGTGAAA